ATGAGAAATTGGAAATTGACAGCATTTTCTCCGAAAGGACTTCTAGCTCTCCCTCTCTCCAACACAGATTACAGATGTTTTAAAACAGCCAGTAGTGTCTTCCCTTTCGGCATCCAAATTCTGAGTTCATTTGATCCAAGCCATCAGACATACGTTAAATCAAAACAGTGGACGGTACCACTGACTGTCATCCTATATCAGCATGAGACAGTCAAATTTAGTTAACGTCAATGTTTATGTCTATCGGGCAGTTCTTCTGTTTCAGTTATACATATGTTTTAATTATTTCGAAATATGTTAATACATTTCAATCAAATACAGAATTATTATAATGTTTTCTTCCGCCAATTAAGACTTTTAAAATGTTTTCAAAATATAACCCTGCTAAAGCAGCACCTAGCAATGGCTGATTTTCATGAAACTTGACTAAAAGAAATAAATATTTATACCTCCGCAACGGGTTTGTTAAGAAAGTAAATATTTCCAAAAAACGTGGTCCGGCGGGGACATGACGAAATAGCAGCGAAGAAACACATGGCACGGCAGTACCGACAGTCACATCCTAATTCTGATAATCTCTTTGAGTTGTTGTGCAATTTATCCCTGTGATGGACTCGTGACGTGACAGAAAACACTGAGATAATCCGATTTAGTAATTTTATGTCATATTAACCAGAATTTAAATCGGATGAGTTGTATGTTGTTTACCAAATCAACAGATTATGACATTGCAAAGCATACCGTCAGCTACCCATTACATACCTTTGAAAAACCACCAGTGTGTTTCTGTAAGACCAAATCGATTCTGTTGAGTGACGTGATAACAATCTATTATGTTACCATAGCAGATAAATTGCCATTTATCTATGTCATCAATTTCGATATGCGTGGATGTTGATCTTTGAAGGTATAATCTTAGTTGATATTGATGAGAATTCGGTCAAATATAACCAGTATGATGGTTGCCATTTATTGCTGAAAGAGAAAAAAACACAACAATTAATTGAACTAGGTTTTTATTGCTATACTAGATCTTGTTTCATCGTTTTGCTTATATATCCCAAACATATAATAAAGTCAATTATTTTGATATTTGAAATAGCTAGATAGATTCTAAAACGTTCTGAGGTAATACTGATTAGTAATTTGATAGATTACTGAAAAAAGAATGATACCGGAAGAGTGGGCAACATTTTGATCATATTGCTGACCATGAGCGCGCCAATACAAATACATATCACCTCGTGTACCGTTCAAGACTGACCCTAAATTAACGTTCTATCAACTCGTGTACCGTCCAGGACTGACCCTAAATTAACGTCCTATCAACTCGTGAACCGTCCAGTACTGACCCTAAATTAACGTCCTGTCACCTCGTGTACCGTCCATGACTGACCCTAACTTAACGCTCTATCACCTCGTTTACCGTCCAGGACTGACCCTAAATTAACGTCTTATCACCTCGTGTACCGTCCAGGACTGACCCTAAATTAACGTCCTATCAACTCGTGTACCGTCCAGTACTGACCCTAAATTAACGCTCTATCACCTCGTGTACCGTCCAGTACTGACCCTAAATTAATGTTCTATCACCTCGTGTACCGTCTAGGACTGACCCTAACTTAACGTTCTATCACCTCGTGTACTGTTCAAGGCTGACCCTAAATTAACGTTCTATCAACTCGTGTACCGTCCAGGACTGACCACCGTCCAGGACTGACCCTAAATTAACGTTCTATCACCTCGTGTACCGTCCAGGACTGACCCTAAATTAACGTCCTATCACCTCGTGTACCGTCCAGGACTGACCCTAAATTAACGTTAACGTCCTATCACCTCGTTTACCGTCCAGGACTGACCCTAAATTAACGTCTTATCACCTCGTGTACCGTCCAGGACTGACCCTAAATTAACGTCTTATCACCTCGTGTACCGTCCAGGACTGACCCTAAATTAACGTCCTATCACCTCGTGTACCGTCCAGGACTGACCCTAAATTAATTAACTCGTGTCCGTCCAGGATCACCTATCACCTCGTGTCGTGTAAATTAACGTCCTATCCAGGACTGACCCTAACTTAACGTCCTATCACCTCGTGTACCGTCCAGGACTGACCCTAAATTAACGTCTTATCACCTTGTGTACTGTCCAGGACTGACCCTAAATTAACGTCCTATCACCTCGTGTACCGTCCAGGACTGACCCTAAATTAACGTCTATCACGTGTACCGTCCAGGACTGACCCTAAATTAACGTCTATCACCTCGTGTACCGACCCTAAATTAACGTCCTATCCTCGTGTACCGGACTGACCCTAAATTAACGTCCTATCACCTCGTGTACCGTCCAGGACTGACCCTAAAAACGTCCTATCAACGACTGACCCTAAATTCTATCACCTCGTGTACCGTCCAGGACTGACCAAAAATTAACGTAATAAAAACAAGAGTACCGTCCAGGACTGACCCTAAATTAACGTCCTATCACCTAGTGTACCGTCCAGGACTGACCCTAAATTAACGTCCTATCACCTCGTGTACCGTCCAGGACTGACCCTAAATTAACGTCCTATCACCTCGTGTACCGTCCAGGACTGACCCTAAATTAACGTCCTATCACCTCGTGTACCGTCCAGGACTGACCCTAAATTAACGTCCTATCACCTCGTGTACCGTCCAGGACTGACCCTAACTTAACGTCCTATCACCTCGTGTACCGTCCAGGACTGACCCTAAATTAACGTCTTATCACCTTGTGTACCGTCCAGGACTGACCCTAAATTAACGTTCTATCACCTCGTGTACCGTCCAGGACTGACCCTAAATTGTCGTCCTATCACCTCGTGTACCGTCCAGGACTGACCCTAAATTGACGTCCTATCACCTCGTGTACCGTCCAGGACTGACCCTAAATTTAACGTTCTATCACCTCGTGTACCGTCCAGGACTGACCCTAAATTAACGTCTATCACCATTAGTACCGTCCAGGACTGACCCTAAAAATTAACGTCTTATCACCTTCGTGTACCGTCCAGGACTGATTAACGTCCTAAACTGACCCTAAATTTAACTTGACCCTAAATTAACGTCCTATCACCTCGTGTACCGTCCAGGACTGACCCTAAATTAACGTCCTATCACCTCGTGTACCGTCCAGGACTGACCCTAAATTAACGTCCTATCACCTCGTGTACCGTCCAGGACTGACCCTAAATTAACGTCCTATCACCTCGTGTACCGTCTAGGACTGACCCTAACTTAACGCTCTATCACCTCGTGTACCGTCCAGGACTGACCCTAACTTAACGTTCTATCACCTCGTGTACCGTCCAGGACTGACCCTAAATTAACGTCCTATCACCTCGTGTACCGTCCAGGACTGACCCTAAATTAACGTTCTATCACCTCGTCCACCGTCCAGGACTGACCCTAAATTGACGTCCTATCACCTCGTGTACCGTCCAGGACTGACCCTAAATTGACGTTCTATCACCTCGTGTACCGTCCAGGACTGACCCTAAATTAACGTTCTATCACCTCGTGTACCGTCCAGGACTGACCCTAACTTAACGTCCTATCACCTCGTGTACCGTCCAGGACTGACCCTAAATTGACGTTCTATCACCTCGTGTACCGTCCAGAACTAACCCTAAATTACCGTCTTATCACCTTGTGTACCGTCTAGGACTGACCCATCAAGCCTCGAGTGAACGTATTGTTAACGCTGTATTGTATATTATTATTCATATGTAATAGCACAGCAAGTTGTTTCAATACTGATACCGATACAATAAAGACATATTTTTACGACATAAAGGAAAAAACAAACAAAATCTGATATTTCCATTTTGACCGCTTTATAAAATCAACACTAATTGGGGGAAAACAAATAAAATTGTCATTCATTGGATATTATAACAGACGGGAAAAGCCCGACGACTGATGAAATAGCAAATTAGCTCGCTCCAATCCAATCCGGCGGGAAAGGTTGTCGGCTAGAGGAAGTAAACAGAACATAATTCCACAATAACATCGTCCCTTTCTCAGTCTTTGATAAGATACCTTGTTTTTTGTTTTTTAGTTATACAAAATAAATTCACAAAACGCAAAAATAAAAAAAAAAAATAATAATAATAAAATAAAATTAATAAATAAATAAACATACAACATTTCAGATCCACATTTATTTTTTACCGCAAGTATACATCAGTCCGCTTTCCTACTTGCCGTTACTAATGTGAATATCCATTTTATTGATGGGGCGAAATAGATAATACACATCGCAAACTGAACTCTTTGATTCATCAGTCCTATTAATTGAACTCTCATAAATCTGTTTGTGATTTTTAAGAAGAAGATTTATATGTGGGTAGCGCAGGCTATACAGCATTTCACAAACAACATACGACTGAATATCGTATTTCAATACGATGAAAAAGATTATGAGCTGAACTGCATCATATGGCAGTTTCGTCTTTCGAGGACTCGTCACTAATAATAAGGGTTTATATAGGGTTTTAACTAGTTGAAAATTAGCCGAAACAGATATCAAAATCTGTATAGGTGTATGCGTTAGCTCCATAATTCAAAAACAAATACCGCCAAGCACGTGTGTATATTCTGAGCCGTGACACCTTTCATTTGAATTTAAATAAAGTGTGTCTATTGCTCTTAGTTTGGCTTTACCTTCCCAAGATGTCGCAATAGGTACTGTTAAGTATGTTGTCTGTATAAAAAGGATATGTAAAAAGCCGCAATACCATATTGTGAGATCTCAAGGTGGTAAAAAAATCGCCACTGAAGCGACTGAGAAAAATCCAAAGTAATTGGAAGTAATTTCAAAATCTGGATTCGTAGGGACACAAGCCCAAGAATTCAATAGCTTCTAGTAATTTTTTATTATTTACAAAACTTACTATCGCTTGATTTTTCTCGCTATTCTATATAGATCTTCAACCAATTATGACAACTATCAAATATTTAGTTCTGAATCATGTCAGTTTAAGATAATAACTCCTTTCTCAATCCTTTAATCCGCCAGACATATAGAAGTGGATTAACTAAAGGATGTGCCATAATTAATAATCTTGTAGTTAACTCTAATACCGGTAAATGAATGTGTGCCAACTTTAACATCTGTATAACCATGTGTGGGATAAAGGTGAAGAACAATACTACCAGAATAATGAGAACTGTGGTTAAAGCAGTCTTCAGTTTGTCTGTCCGCTTAGAACATCGGACTCCGTGTTTGAAGATTGCGCCGAGCATTAATGGTGGTTGAGTCTGTGGATTATCATGAAATGGAGTTTTAGGTTGAACGTCGTTTTTAAAATGTGACGAGAGTGGTTTAAGACTTGGGGGTTTGAATTTTAATCTTAAATGTGTGTAATTACTGGGAATGGCGTCTAACTTGGCTATAAGAGGATTTCTCTCATAAGCATCGCGTTGATGTTTCCTAAGTAATCGTGTCAGTGTACAAACAGCCGTAGAATACAGTAGAATGGTTAATATCACTAAAGGTAGAACAATGATGAGCTGAGTCAAAACAAGGATGATCAGCATGTTAACATAAGAATACATCCTTTCAAGTTTACAACGGTTATAATTTCCGGTAGTGTTAAAACTGCTGATAATGATCACAACGTAACAGATCAGAAGAACAGTCGATATAAACGGGGTGTAATATTTTGATTTCCCGGCAAAAATGGAATGAGTTCGACATTTCACAGCGTTGAATCTCTCTAGAGATATCAGGAAGCAGAGGAACAGGGAACTCCCAAAGAATGCCACCCATCCGGTATAGATCATTTCACAAAATGATTTCGACGGAATTAATTTGGTGTATATCGGTATGTAATACACAAGGTTAGTACTACAAACAAGCAAATCACTGAAGCTCAGGCAAAGGATGAAAAACTCATGAGCACGTTTCCTCAGCTTCGGTCTTAAAATTAAAAGAATAACCACAACGATGTTCTCGATGAAGCCAATTATCTGCATACATAAACCAACAGCTTCCGGAATGGGATAGGTTACTGCGTCTTCTATATGATACTCTGTTTGGTTCCATGGCGTCTGTGGTTTCTGTAATGTACATATTGTTGATTAAGGGTACGTAGTGCAATGATGCATATCGAATGCCTTACTGACATAATGCAAACATTTATAGAAATGTTTACATGAAGTCTGCCTTACGAAAGCACAGCATGCGTGCCTTTAATGAAGTAATATTCTTAAAACTTTATCAAATGACATATCTTTAAAACTTTATCAAATGACAGATCCTTAAAACTTTATCAAATGACTTATCTTTAAAACTTTATCATCTGTTTTATTTTTGAAACGTCATCATTTGCCAACGCTTATATCCTTTTGACATCATACACGGCTATCCTTTAAACATGATTGTACTTGTTATATTCTTAAAACGTCACCATAGACGATATTCTTAAAACATCATCGATGGCTATATAATTAAACATTATCTCTGTCTATATTCCAACACCACTGGGTATGTTCATGTCTTCTTCATGCCTTTCCTTGTCTTTGGATTCAAATAAAATGCTACACATGTTGTCAATAATATATTATATCACCTGTCCATTACAACTACAAATAAATGTTACATTCACTTACCATCGTTTGTTATACGTTGCTGTCATTCACGATAACTGTTTCTTCAAAGTTACCAAAGCTGTGTTGATGACCACTGTATCCCTGTATTGATGGTGTTTATTTCGAACGGACCTTAGTTATACTCACTAAGGTATACCTCGTTGATATACACAATTGGTATATGCATTATGCATGGATCATTTAAACTGAATCCAATTATCCGGAGGCAAATTGAATCGGTTTATATCATATCGTTATAGACGTCACTACCAGACAGAAACATTGGTCAAATATTAACATGTTGGGTCGTGACTGATATAATACCAACCTACTAAACCCAAGGAAATTAAATTTCGACTTATTTTCACAATCGACTTTTATTTACAATGCTATGTAGGTAAAGGAACGTCTTTTTGATAATATTCGCTAAATGATATGATTTATCAGTCCTCTCTTGACTTACATCTACGATGTAGTTTTGGTGATCATTTTGTCATAAAAAATTCTTTTAGCTTAGTTTTAAGATTCAAGATTCCTTCTGAAGCTGTAGAAACGTTTCTCAGCTTTAATAGGAAAACGTATCTGTTAAGAGATTTACTCATTGTAAACTACGACTGTGTCAGGAGAGAGAAAATAACATACCCTTTATTGCCAAACTAGCATGTGCTACAAATATGTGAATCACTTCAGTATCGGGATAGGCTAAAATACTATCTATTTTTAGACTTCAAACTGACCACAATATATCTTGATTACATATTGTTCTGTCTACTACTTGACCTCATTGTAATATCCTTTCTGTATGATTATTACAAGTGGTTTTGGATGATTGATTTTACCATGGAAATCATTAATATTCATAGTGTTAAGTGACCTTTCCAAAGGAAGGGGGTTGTCTCCGTTCATTCATTATACTATTATCTCTAATAGTGTTGAGTGACCTTTACCAAGGAAGGGGGGTTGTCTCCGTTCATTCATTACACTATTATCTCTAATAGTGTTGGGTGACCTTTACCAAGGAAGGGGGTTGTCTTTGTTCATTCACCTCACTTTTGCCTCTAATAGTATTGAGTGACCTTTAACAAGGAAGAAAGGTTTCTCTGTTCATTCATCTCATTTTGTCTCTAATAGTGGTGAATTACCTATACCATGGAATAGAATTGTCTCTGTTCATTCATCTCAATGTTGTCTATAGTGTTGGGTGACCTTTACCAATGAAGGAAGTTCTCTCTGTTCCCGCATCGAGATTAAATCTATCGAATCTATATTTAATCATGTCTACTTAACAACAACAAAAATGACCCTTACTTGTAACTCTATACTACTGTGTTGAGGACATAACAAACACATTAGATTGATTTCAAAAGTAGATTTAGAGCTAGGTTATCAACAAAATCGTACAGTTATTGCTTTCATGCGGTGTACTACACCTTGTATATAGTGTTCTACATCTTGTATGTGATGTTCTACACCTTGTATGTGGTGTTCTACACCTTGTATGTAATGTTCTACACCTTGTATGTGATGTTCTACGCTGATGTTCTACACCTTGTATGTGATGTTCTACACCTTGTATGTGGTGTTCTACACCTTGTATGTGGTGTTCTACACCTTGTATGTGATGTTCTACACCTTGTATGTGATGTTCTACACCTTGTATGTGATGTTCTACACCTTGTATGTAATGTTCTACACCTTGTATATAGTGTTCTACACCTTGTATGTGATGTTCTACACCTTGTATGTGATGTTCTACACCTTGTATGTGGTGTTCTACACTTTGTATGTAATGTTCTACACCTTGTATGTGATGTTCTACACCTTGTATGTGGTTTTCTACACTGATGTTCTACACCTTGTATGTGGTGTTCTACACCTTGTATGTGATGTTCTACACATTGTATGTAATGTTCTACAACTTGTATGTGATGTTCTACACCTTGTATGTGATGTTCTACACTGATGTTCTACACCTTGTATGTTGTGTTCTACACCTTGTATGTGATGTTCTACACCTTGTATGTAATGTTCTACACCTTGTATGTGGTGTTCTATACCTTGTATGTGTATGTGATGTTCTACACCTTGTATGTGATTACTACACCTTGTATGTGATGTTCTACACCTTGTATGTGATATTCTACACCTTGTATGTAATGTTCTACACCTTGTATGTAATGTTCTACACCTTGTATGTGGTGTTCTACACCTTGTATGTGATGTTCTACACCTTGTATGTGGTTTTCTACACTGATGTTCTACACCTTGTATGTGATGTTCTACACCTTGTATGTGGTGTTCTACACTTTGTATGTAATGTTCTACACCTTGTATGTGATGTTCTACACCTTGTATGTGTATGTTGCCTTCTACACCTTGTATATGATGTTCTACACTGATGTTCTACACCTTGTATGTGGTGTTCTACACCTTGTATGTGATGTTCTACACCTTGTATGTAATGTTCTACACCTTGTATGTGATGTTCTACACTGATGTTCTACACCTTGTATGTGGTGTTCTACACCTTGTATGTGATGTTCTACACCTTGTATGTAATGTTCTACACCTTGTATGTGGTGTTCTACACCTTGTATGTGATGTTCTACACCTTGTATGTGATGTTCTACACCTTGTATGTGATGTTCTACACCTTGTATGTGATATTCTACACCTTGTATGTAATGTTCTACACCTTGTATGTAATGTTCTACACCTTGTATGTGATGTTCTACACCTTGTATGTGGTGTTCTACACCTTGTATGTAATGTTCAACACCTTGCATGTGATGTTCTACACCTTGTATGTAATGTTCAACACCTTGTATGTGGTGTTCTATACCTTGTATGTGTATGTGATGTTCTACACCTTGTATGTGATATTCTACACCTTGTATGTAATGTTCTACACCTTGTATGTAATGTTCTACACCGTGTATGTGGTGTTCTACACCTTGTATGTGATGTTCTACACCTTGTATGTGGTTTTCTACACTGATGTTCTACACCTGGTATGTGATGTTCTACACCTTGTATGTGATGTTCTACACCGTGTATGTGGTGTTCTACACCTTGTATGTAATGTTCAACACCTTGCATGTGATGTTCTACACCTTGTATGTGGTGTTCTACACCTTGTATGTAATGTTCTACACCGTGTATGTGATGTTCTACACCTTGTGTGTGATATTCTACACCTTGTATGTAATGTTCTACACCTTGTATGTAATGTTCTACACCGTGTATGTGGTGTTCTACACCTTGTATGTAATGTTCTACACCTTGTATGTAATGTTCTACACCGTGTATGTGGTGTTCTACACCTTGTATGTGATGTTCTACACCTGGTATGTGATGTTCTACACCTTGTATGTGATGTTCTACACCTTGTATGTGGTGTTCTACACCTTGTATGTAATGTTCAACACCTTGCATGTGATGTTCTACACCTTGTATGTAATGTTCAACACCTTGTATGTGGTGTTCTATACCTTGTATGTGTATGTGATGTTCTACACCTTGTATGTGATATTCTACACCTTGTATGTAATGTTCTACACCTTGTATGTAATGTTCTACACCGTGTATGTGGTGTTCTGCACCTTGTATGTGATGTTCTACACCTTGTATGTGGTTTTCTACACTGATGTTCTACACCTTGTATGTGATGTTCTACACCTTGTATGTGGTGTTCTACACCTTGTATGTGATGTTCTACACCTGGTATGTGATGTTCTACACCTTGTATGTGATGTTCTACACCGTGTATGTGGTGTTCTACACCTTGTATGTAATGTTCAACACCACCTTGTATGTAATGTTCAACACCTTGTATGTGGTGTTCTATACCTTGTATGTGTATGTGATGTTCTACACCTTGTATGTGATGTTCTACACCTTGTATGTAATGTTCTACACCTTGTATGTGGTGTTCTACACCTTGTATGTGGTGTTCTACACCTTGTGTGTGATGTTCTATACCTTGTATGTGATGTTCTACACTGATGTTCTACACCTTGTATGTGATGTTCTACACCTTGTATGTGGTGCTCTACACCTTGTATGTGATGTTCTACACCTTGTATGTGGTGTTCTATACCACGATATTCTACACCTTGTATGTGGTGTTCTACACCTTGTATGTGGTGTTCTACACCTTGTATGTGATGTTCTACATCTTGTATGTAATGTTCTACACCTTGTATGTGGTGTTCTACATCTTGTATGTGATATTCTACACTGATGTTCTACACCTTGTATGTGATGTTCTATACCTGTTATGTGATGTTCTACACTGATGTTCTACACTGATGTTCTACACCTTGTATGTGATGTTCTACAGTGATGTTCTACACCTTGTATGTGATGTTCTACACTGATGTTCTACACCTTGTATGTGGTGTTCTACACCTTGTATGTGATGTTCTACAGTGATGTTCTACACCTTGTATGTGATGTTCTACATCTTG